GCAGGGCTCCGTTCCCAAACCCCACAGTGTTGTCTCGATATGGAGGGGTATTTTTGGCAAGTTTGGCCAAGGTAAGTTTAGGTGGCTGCAGTAAGCAGGATTAAAAATAGGTGATTTAAACCAAACAAACAAGCTGAGGATTGACACGCTCCCTCCTTTTCCAAACAACCCCATCTGGGATGGAGCCCGAAGACCGAACACCGTCACGTTTGAAGCGATACTGGCCCAGGACCCGCTTACTGTGCAGGAGGCCCCTGCGGAGCAGGGGCTGGCAGCCCTCCAGGAGCGGGGAGGAGGTTTTCCGGGCCGTGCGGGGCGGGGGGGAGGAGGCGTGGGACGCGTCTCAGCTGAGCCGGAGCCTCACACGAGAACGCCCGGACACAGCTTCAGAAACCGTACAGTGAATTTCCACGGGTGGTGGGGAGCTGGAACCGGGGCTTCGCCTGCAGATTTGGGCTGGTTTTCGGGCAGTGCGTGGCTCTGGGTCACGAAAAGCTGACTCTGATCCTAGAACTAAGTTAGAAACAAATGCAGAACGTCTCTGCATCCTTTTCCCCCTTAGTCCTAGCTAACACAAATTGCTGGTGATCCAAGACAGGGATGGATTCAAATCCATCTGTTTCGATCCAGATGCGGCTGGGCTGAAATAGTGAGTAAAAATAAAATCATCTCATAAATAAAATGTTGAAAATGGAAGAATTAGGCATCTGGAGCAGTAAGTCATACGATTGCTTAAATACGGTGCTGAGCCTATGCCCTGCTGGCTAGCAAAAAATGCGGTGTGGAGCAGAAAATCCATGGAAAACTAACATGTTGAAATGGTTATGGCAGCAAATGGAAATGCAGCTCCCCTCAAGAACTGAAGCGCAGTACCAACGAAAAACAAGACGATTAAAATGGACGGATTTAAATAAGGGTTTTTTGCTGGCAGAGTTAAACCAGGATTAAAATCTGATTTACATCAAGCCACTGTTAAGCGTAAAGCAAGTGTGGTTTGGTTCCTCTCCGAGGGTTTTTTTTTTAAACTGAACTGAAGTTGACCATCGTAGCAGCCGAGCCACCTCTGAGCTTCATGAAATCTGTTACCTCCTGAACAGCTGATTGTTTCTTTCATCAGACCCTCCTGGCACCCAGCTTTGAAAAGATAAACGGTTTCAAAGACAGAATTATTTTATTATCACAGAGCAATCCGATACACAATAACGAGAAAAAAGAGTTTCAGGGTATTAAAGATAGAGCTTCCAGCATTAGAGAGCAGCATCCTACGGGCACTCGCTGTGCAGACACAAGAGGAAAGAGCGATGGAGAGAAAAGAGCTTTGGCAATACACCGGGTACCTCTGGGGAAAGCATCACCGCTCGCCCCCTCCCAGCGAACCCGGGGCGGCTCTTGCCCAGTTCACCCCCCAAAACCAGTGGCTAGCACTGAAGAGCGCTCCTGGCAGGGCGTCGTGCCTCTGCTCTGCAGAGGCCCAGCTCGAGCGGCGAAGGTGCAGGCTTCCCAGCCCGCGGATCCCCCGACGACCCTTCGTCGGCCACAAGGCCAGACTGAGTTACTGGGTTGCCTCCCCCACCACCACACCAAGTCTTCCCTCCTCTGTAAACAATAAGGTGATTCTCCAAGTTCTGTAAAACTGATCCTACCATCTAAGTTACAGAAACCGAGCCCTGCCAGCCTGCAGCGTGGCAGGGGACTTAAAGAATCCTGTCGTTTCCCTTTACTGGCAGGTTTTTGTGGGG